CCCGCCCCTCCTCCTCCTCCTCCTCCTCCTCCTCCTCGGCAGTCCCGCCTCCGTCCGCTTCACGTGACCTCCCCGCTCCGGCCTCCTCCACGTGATCTCTACATCTTTCCCGCCCCCTTGTTCTCGCCCGACACCCTCCACACGTGACCCGGGGCTGAGGACTCCTCTCTTCCGAGGCTCCGTGCGTGTTTACGTATGTCGGATGCGCATGCGCGACAGGGCCCTCCGCAGGCGCTCCTCTCTCACGTGACCCGGCGCCGCGTGCTCCCAGGGGCTACCCGCGCGGGACCCTGCTTCCTGTTCTGGGCCTCTCTGCCCCCGCCCCTGAGCCGCGGCCAGCGTGCCGGGTACTCGGTGGGCAGAGAAGAAAGAAGTGCGCTCGCCGCCGGACGTGTTTATCCTGCGCCCGTAGGCTGGTCCTCGGCGCGGGATCCCCGAGCCTCTGCCCCCGGTGGGGATGGGCCTGCTCTGTCTCCACACTGAACGAGGGGCGTGTGGTCGGGGAAGGCTCCCGGCCTGGGATACCGGAGGCTTGGATTCTCGTCCCGTCCCTGCCTCTACTGCCTTGTGTGACCTTGGGTTAACCACTTTCTCGCTGCGCCTCAGTGTCCTCATCTGTACAATGGCTCTGATGACCATGATGCCTGTTGTTCCTGCTCCCAAGGATTTGATGCGAGACCTTTAAGTGTCCAGTGATACGAATCGCTGTTCTTATTATGCACGAGGGGTAGTCAATAGCTGGCCTTTCGCGCTTTTCAAACCCCGTGGGTCTGGCCGAGGCTGGGGAAGGACGGCAGGGGCTTTCTTGGGCGAACCACGGAAGGAGTGCATCGCTAGTCTACACCGTTAACCTAGCAGGAAGATGAAAGGAGACGGATTCCCCGTCTCTAGTCTAAATGGCTAACACCTTGTCGCAATGGTCCTGGCAGCTGCCGGGAGTAGGCGGCAGTGCTTCCGGGCCCTCGCTAGGTGGCACTGTCACAAAGGACAAAGCTGGCTGAAGTTCCAGAAATCCGGAGCTAGTGTTCCTGTGCCAAGGGCTGGTGTTACTCGCCGGTGGTAGGGCCTGGTGAATTATGCTGGGCCACCCAGCCCTTAAGCTACTGGCCAGATCATCCCCTTTCTCACCTACCTGGACTAAAATGAGTTAGCCTTTGCAGAAGGCCTTTTTTGGCCAAGGTGGGCTAAGGGTATTTAAAGATTATTGCATGGTGTTTCTGGTTCTCCTGGGGCCGTTTATCTGGCTTGAGTAGCCTGAACAGTTAGCTACTTAGCTACCTGCCGCCTTTGTGCCTGTGTGTAGAAGCTGGTGGCATAAAGGGTTGTGGTAAGAATTCCCATTTATCGAGCATCTCCTGAGCTAGAGTATTTTATAAATATTTTTAAGCTTCCCAACAACTTTGCAAGGGAAGCATTTTTATCCCTGTTTTACAAGTGGGGAAAATGAGTGATTGTCATGGATATACAGCTTGTAAGCAGCCTGTCTCCAAAGCCGGTGCCCTCATGTCACACTCTGCCTTTCTCAATGCTTTCTCAGAGATTTTCACATATCAATTAACCCAGCCCTTACCCAAGAAACCCGCAGATGCAGCCATTTGGAAGATCTTGAATTCTATATTTTATAAAGGGTTTAATTAGAAGAAAACAACACAGTGAAACAGTCCCACAATGTTGCACAGACTCCAAGTCCCCCAGTGAGGAAACCCAGAAGTCATGGTCAGCAGGTGCTGATCTCTGCTGGTCCATTCAGCATCTCAGCTCTGGCTGGGAGAAACTTCTGGCACCCAGAAGTCTAGTGTAGAGTCATATCTGAAATGACTGGACACGAGCATGATGTCCAACTGAAATGTGGGAGCAGAAATGAAAAGGAAGTCTTTAATGAATACTTGTTGCTAGGGGAACAGTGAGTGTGATGAAACCCTTCCCTCATGGAGCTTACATTCTACTGGGGGAACAGACATGATAAAGTTGGAGTCTACAAAGCCTACTGACTAATTGTGGGTGAAGATGACCAGCTATTTACTGAGTGCCTACTATGTGTGAGGTGCTGGGAATGCAGTATTGAATAAAATGGACCTAGTCTCACATTTTCCATGTGTTCAGCATGGGAGAAAGTCATACGTTTTGTGGATTGTTACACATCCAATCACTTAACTGCAGTTGTGGTAAGTGCCTCGAAGGAGAACAAGACAGGATCTTGCAGAGTGCTCCAGAACAAATGACATGCTGAGCCTGAAGGGTAAGTAGAGTTATCTGAGGGAAGAGGATGGGCTGGATGCTGTCCCAAGTAGAAGGAATGGTGAATCACAAAGGTGCTGAGGTGGGCCCCTGGCAAGTGGAGGAACAGAAGTTCTAAGTCTAGGGCGGGGGTGGGGGGATGCAAGCAGGTAAGGTAGACCAGATCTAGGAAGGCCGTGGCAGGTATTCACAGCCACGTTTGGCTTTATTTTAAGATTAAGGAAGATCAAAAGACCACTAGAGTTTTGGGAAATTCTGGAAGCCTGGGCACTAACAGCACGAGACTTAGAGGAGAGCGGTGTTTTGTGGGAATGGTAGGAGTTGGGTTATGGACATATTGAGTGTGTGGAGGGAGGGGTGATGTGGAGCATTTTCCTGGAGCCACCCAATAGAATCTGAGTTTTGAGTTCAAGAGGGAGGGCAGAGCCACGGGTGTTCATTGCAGAGTCTGCACAGCCCTCTGGATCAAAACATAGGGAGTCAACACCGCAGGGTGGATGCAGGGGGAGGGGTAGAGAGGGGACAGTCTGAACTGGCTTTGGATTTGAGCTCCTCTGCGTTCCTCTGTTTTGCTAACTGGGGAACCCTGGGCACACTATTTAATTTTTGCAAGCTTCAGTTTCCTTGTCTGTGAAATGGGTGTGATGCTCTTTGCCTTGTGGCATGGTCACTGTGGAATGACATCTATAAAGTGATTAACACAGTGATGGGTACATGGTACACTGCACAGCAGATGCTAAATATCATTGAATAAACATCATGGGGGCTTTGCTATGTGCTGGAACTGGTGTGAGATGGATGTACAGCAGTCGATGAGACAGACAAGAACCCTGCTCTCATGACACTTCCATTCTAGTGCATGTTGTCAGGTAATAAACAGTAAATACATAAGCAGAAGAAGAGCAGCCTGGAAGTAGATTCAAGGAATTAGAGCAGGATCCTGTGTGAGAGCAGGATCACTTTAAGTCCAGCAGCCAGGGACGTCTCCTTATGGAGACAGTCTTCAAGCTGAGATCTGATCAAAGAAAACAAGACTAGGGAAGACCATTTCAGGTAGAGAGAGCCATGGCCTTGAAGACTGAGTGAGGATGAGTGTGGTATGGCCCACAAGTAGGTGAAGTACACACTGGCCGAGAGTGTGGGTTTGGAAGCCCAGTTCTGCCAGCTCTTAATGGCATGACCTTGGGCAAGTTACTTATCCTGTCTGTGCCTCAGTTTCCACATCTGTAAAATGGAGATTAGTACCTACTTGTTGGTACTATTACGTGAGAATTGCATGAGAATGTATGTAAAGTGCATGAAGTGGTACACATGGTAAGAATTCAATCTTTTTATTTTATTTTTTGAGTCTTAGTAACATTCTTTTGCCTAGGCTGGAGTGTAGTGGCACGCTTACAGGCCACCACAGCCTCAACCTACTGAGCTCAGGTGATCCTTCCACCTCAGCCTTCTAAGTAGCTGGAACCACAGGCATGTGCCACCACGCCCTGCTAATTTTTTTAAAAAAATTATCATGGAGACAAGGTCTCGCCATGTTGCTCAGGCTGGTCTCAAAGCCCTGAGCTCAGGCATCCTCTCACCTCCGCCTCCCAAAGTACTGGGATTGTAGGCTTGAGCCACTACACCTGGCTAATTTTTTTTAAAACGGGCTCAGCATAACTTGAATCTAGTAAAGGAAGAGGAGAGAAGGACTGGAGCTGAGTCCAGGGAGGGAAGTAGGACCTGGATCGAGACCACGGCGCATTGTGTGGGTTTTATGCCAAATGCACGGGGAACCACAGGAGGACTAAGCAGGGAGGACTGATTTAAAATTGTAAAAGGTCACTCTGAGTGTTCTGAAGAAACAGCTTGTAGGAATTTCTTTTTCTTTTCTCTGAAAGGTCATGTGTTATCGGCATGAGCAGGTGCTCATGTCTGCAGCAGGGTGAGCGGCCTTCCTCCTCGATTTGCTCCCAGAAGCGTAGCATTCTGTCATGGACCCAACAGATATATTCTGAGTACTTGCTGTCTGCAGGAGGACTCTGGTGGGCACTGGGAATGTAGGGACAAAGCAGCCCCGGCCCCTGCAGAAAGTGCCTGGTGTGATTGGTGGCGCAGAGAAGTGCCTCACGTGACAGCTCCTACTCACTTGGTCATTTTTGTTGTATTTCTTTTTCTGCCCTCAGGGGCTCGTGGTAATGGAAAGACTGTAGTCAGATATCGATAGTAATACAATGTGACAAACACAACAGCAGAAGTTGAGAAGGGCCAGGGCATTGAAGGGTGATAGTAATAGGATTAAGTCCCCAAAAGATGTGACAGTAAGAGTTTCTTAGGTGGAAATGGGAGGACATTGTGAAGGAACTGGGCCCTCATGTAGAAAGACGTCGGGCAGAAAGGTCTAAGACAAAGGAGGAATGACAAGAGAGGAGGGGAATGGACAAGGAGGGGGCTCAGCATAAGAGAGAACTGTAGAGGTGTCAGTCACTGCTGCAATAGCCTGAGGCTCTTGGGTAGCCCTGGTAGTACCAATGCTTCTGGAAGTCAGTTTAGCATTAAATAATTAAATAGTCCCAAAACCTTAAAACCTTGACCCAGCAGTGACCTCGGAAATTATTAAAGGTATTTT